AGACCTCAGTGCCCAAACTTCTCTTTCTGAACAGCTGGGGAACCAAAGCCCCAACAAAGGCAGGGACAGGAACTCAGTCATGACAGGTATGGCCAGGACTAGTGCCAGGGATTTGAACACATTATCTCATTTAACTCTCCCAGTAATCCCCGATTAAGGTTTTAAGAGACTACTACTATCATTTTACAGAGAAGAAAATTGAGGCAGAATAACAGCTGCTTGAAGGGAACATGCACTAGAACTTGAAAGGTCCTGATTCAAATTTTGGCTCTATACTTAGAAGATGTGGGCCCTTCGGCAAGTCCCTCACTGCACTGGGCCTCACCTTCTTTGTAGGGAACACGGGGCTGATACCGCCTACTTTCCAGATGTTGTTTGCCAGGACCTGGTCCAAGACCTGGTATAGAGTAGGTGCTCCGTGGTCAACTCTTAATTACCATCAGGGAGGCTGAGCAACTTGTCCAAGGCATTGTACTAACGCGTCATGGAGGAGGATTTCGGCTTGCTCAATGAGGCATGGAGGTGTCCCTCAAACTAACAGGTCAGGGTACAGGGGTTTGGGACGTAAGAAGGCCTTCAGTTTTCGACATTTCTACAAGGTGATCAGGTGCCAGGCTCTCTCCCCTGGGCAGGTTACATTCCCCAGAAGGCTGGAAAAAGAAATATACATACAGGTCACTACCCTTTTCAGCATTGTGGATGTGGGTGTTCCTGCTATGTCCCTGAGGGGGACTTCAGGAACTCTTCCTTGAAGGTTCTTATTGACAGCATTCAGGAAATTCCATTTTGGCATCCCCCCCCCGTCTCCCGCTGGGGACAGGATCGTGGTGTCAGGAGACAGCGAGAGCCCTTCCCCAGCTCTCCCAGGAAAACCTGGTGAGGAGGCAGGACCATAAAGCCTCAGCAGCTTGGCCCACTGGGATGAGCAAGGGATGGTGCACACTCCCTCTGTCTGGGCCCCAGTACCCGACAGGCAAGGCTTTCAGGAACCTGGGCTGGCCTGGCCGAGTGCCAAGAGCTGCCCAATGGCCAGAAGGCAGGGCGTTCCGCCTCTGACCTCTCAGAAACATGGCACTTTTCTAGAGGCTGGCTTGCCTGGAATGCTGGCTCGTTGGACTCTGTTGCTCTGCGAGCTTCCAGTTCAGTCTCTTTCCCTTAACAGCTAGTGACAGCCTCTCTGTGACTTGTTTCTGCAGATATCTGAGGGGTGAGATGGTCACTGGGCTTTGGGTTATGGGCAGGATCTGGGCACCTGTGGGGGCCAGAAGGCAGAAATAGCCAGACCACCGAGCTCCTTCTTGTGCATACACCCCAGTTTCTTTCTAGCCCCTTTCTTCATTTCCCAGTATTTTTTCCTCAATCCCCTTCATTCCTTCCTCCTTCCTAGACCCTCTTCTTTTGTTCTAAGGGCCTCTGTACTAGCCCTTCTGGGGGGTGTGTAGTGGTGTGGCATTGAGCTCTTCGTTGGCAAATCCTGCAGAGCTAATGATGTTGAACATTTTTTTACTTGATTAAGGGCAAAGATTAAAAAAATCTTTTGCCCATTATTCCATTGAGTACCTTCTTTTCGTTAATTTGTAGTTATTTATTCTAGATAGAAGGCTTTTGAATTCTTCATTTTAATGGAATGTGGTTTATCATTTTTTCTCTGTGGATGGTGCTTTTTGTGTCCTGTTTAAGAAATGTCTGCCTACTCCAAGGTGATACTATTTAGTATTTGATTTAAATTTTTTTTTATTTTACCTTTATCATTTGAATCGACAGTTACCTGAAATTGAACTTGTGTATCATGTGACTAGGATTCAAAAAGTATTTCTTCTGTGTAAATATCCACATGATCCAGCAGAATTTATAAAAAAGACCACCCTTTTCCCATTGCATTACCAGATGAACTTTGTCATAAATCAGATGACCATATTCATGGGTCTATTCTTGGCTTTATTCTATTCAGTCAATCTGTTTGTTTTTTCTTGTGCCAATTTCTCACTCCCTTAATTATTTTAGCTTTCTAGTAAGTCTTACTTTCTGGTAAGTTCTACATATAAATTTTATAACCAGGTAGTCAATTTCTGTAGGGAAAAAAACTGCTGGGCTTTTGACTGGGATTGCATTGAACCTGTAGAAATCAATTTTAAATCTTTATAACGTTGAACTGTCCCACTCATGAATGTGGAATATTCTCCATTTACTTAGGTCTTCCTTAATTTCTCTAAAGAATGTTTTTCTATGCATATTTCATTAGATTTTCATTACTACATATTTGATTTTTTAAAATGTTCTTATAAACTATTTTCTAGTTGCTGTTATAGAGAATTCCATTGATTTTTGTGTGTTGGCTTATTTCAGTTTGTCTTTGATTTCTTTTAGATTTGCTACCTATATAATAATGTAACCTGCAGGTAATGACAGGTTTTATTTCTTCCTTTCCAATCCTTTGGTCTTTTATTTATTTCTCTTGACTTATTTCACTAGCTAGGACCACCAGTAAAATGGTGATTAGAAATGGCAATAGTGAGCATTTTTGTTTCACTTCCAATGTCAGGGAGCAAGTTATTAATATTTCACTATTCAGTACGTTTGCCATAGGCTGCTTCTTCTTTTATTGGAGATAATATTTATCACATTAAGAAGTTTCCCTTTTATTCCTTGTTTAATAAGGGGTTCATTTCTAATTTTAATTGATTGCTGATTTTTACCAAATGCTTTTTCTGTATCTATTGAGTTAATCATATCATTTCTCCCTTAATTCTATTAATAAGATGAATTACATTGTTAGCTTATCAAATGCTAAATGAACCTTGCATTCTTAAAATAAACACAATTTGATTGTGATGTATTATCCTTATTATGTTGCTGAATTCAATTTACTATTATAGTGTTTAGGAGTTTTGCAACAATGCTCATGAGAGATTGGTTTATAAGTTTCCCTTCTTGCAATATGTTTGGGGTTTTTTTGGTATTGAGTTTGTGCTGGTCGCATAAAATGAAACAGAAAAATTTAACTCTTTTTTTAACCTTTGGAACAGTTTGTTATGATTGGTATTATTCTCTTAAATGTTGAAAACAATCACTAGTTAATCTATTTGGGCTTGGAGTTTTCTTTCTAGGAAAGTCTTAAATGATAGATTCAACTTTTTTTGAAAGACAGGGGACCCTTTTGACTTTTTTTCTTCTTGTGTCAGTTTTGGTAATTTGTGCTTTTAAAGACATTTGTTCATTTCATTTAACTGTCAAGTTTATTGGTATAAAGTCTTCTGTAATTTTTTAAATGATCTTTTAAAAGAGTGTAGAATCTATAGTAATACTTGTCTTTTTGTTCCTGATGTTGGTAATTTGTGTTTTAATTCTCTTTATCTGTCTTGCTAAGGATTACATATTAATTATATCAAAGAATGAAATTTTGGTTTTGTTTCCATTTCATTATTTTCTGTTCTTATATTTATTATTTTATTCTTTCAGCTTCTCTTTGATTTGTAGTCCTTTTTCTAGCTTCTGGAGCTGTGAAGTTAGCTAATTAATTTTTATCCTTTCTTCTAATGTGCATTCTCATCACGGAAGAAGGAAATAAATTCTCCCTGAAGCACTGATAATGTTTGAACTTCATAATTATTGAGTTCAATATATACTAATTTCCATTTTTATTTTTCTTTGTTTAATACATTAATTAGCAGTGTATGCTAATTTCAAAGTAGTTGGGTGCTTCCCTGTTGTGTTGATTTTAAATTTGATTTCTAGCCAATTTTATGGTAACCAGAGAATATAGTCTAAATGATTTCCACTTTGGAATTTTTTGAGCTCGCATTCATGATGCAGCATCTGATCAATTTTGACAAATGTTTTATGAAGCCACAACATATTTCTTTTAGTTAGTATTTGTATGGCATATATCTTTCATTCTTCCTTCCTAGTGTGTCTATTGTCCTTATATTAAGGCATGTTTCTTTTCCCCCAGCTTTATTGATAAATCACTGAGACAACATTTTTGTCAGTTTAAGGTGTGCAACATGTTGATTTGATATATTTATATATTGCAAAATGATTGAGGTGTGTTTTTTGTAAGCAATATATAAGGATTTTTTTTAAAGCAGTGTGGAAATATGCCTTCTATTAAAATATTTAGTACATTTGCATCTGCATTTAAAGATACTACCTACATGGTTAAAGTTCATATTTACCATGTTTCCACTGATTTTCGATTTGACCTACCTGTTTTATCTTTGGAATAACTTCAGTCTGCTATCACATCACAGTGTCCCTCTGGCGCCCTCTACTGACAGAGCCTCCCATTGTCAACTGGCAAAGAAGAAATGGATGTGCTGGTGAGGCTTGCAGCACATCCAGACAAGGGGCTCTAGGTCAGACAGGAACTCCATCTCTAAAGGTTTGGGAGCTGGATGTATGTAAACTAATTGTTTAGTTAGCTATGTGAGAGACCAGCTTGTCCTCTGTCAGGTGTGAAATAAGACTGGGGAGACTGCATGTGAGTAGTTTGCAGTTATTTACTATTATAAGGTATTGTGTTAGATGCTTCATATACAGTGCCTCTAGTCTTCACAAAATCCCAGAGATATTAGTATTAATATTAGTAATAGTCACATTTTACAGATGAGGAGACAGAAGCTCAGAGAGGTTAAGTCACTTGCTGAAGACAGCAGATGAACAGCAGGGCCAGAATTCACATCCTAGCCTGTTTGCCTTTCACGGCAATGCTTTCTCTAGACCCTCCTACTTTTTTTTTCTTTTAAGATTTTATTTACTTATTTTTAGATAGGGGAAGGGATGGGGAAGAGAGGGAAAGAAACATCAGTGTATGGTTGCCTCTTGTGTGTCCCCTACTGGGGACCTGGCCTGCAACCCAGGCATATGCCCGGACTGGGAATCGAACTGGCGACCCTTGGTCCACAGGCCAGCACTCAATCCACTGAGCCATGTCTGCCAGGGCTAGACTCTCCTACTTTAGATGACATTTACATGAGTGTAATTCTCTTATAGACCCCACCATGTGGATGCCTCCAATGCAGAACCAAAGTTGGGTTTCTGAGTTTATTCTGCTCGGCTTCTCCAGGGACTCCACATCCAACAGGATCCTCTTTGTTGCCTTCTTTCTCCTCTACCTGAGTGCAGTCCTGGGCAATGGGCTCATTGCCACCCTGATCTGCCTGGACGTGCATCTTCACACGCCCATGTACTTCTTCCTCTGCATTCTCTCCCTGTTGGACATGAGCTATGTCACCACCACTGTACCCCAGATGTTAGTGCATCTTCTTTCTCAGTCTCAGACCATCTCTTTTGCTGGCTGTTGGCTACAAATGTTTGTGTTTGGTGCCCTGGGCCTGACCGAGTGCATTTTCTTTGTAGTCATGGCTTATGACCGATACATAGCCATCTGCTACCCACTGCGTTATACTGTCATCCTCAACTGGAACCTGTGCACACGGTTGGCAGCTGGGAGCTGTGCCTGTGGTTTCTTCTTCTCTCTGATCCATACTTTTCTCACCATGCAGCTGCCATACTGTGGGCCCAATATGGTCAACCACTATTTCTGCGAAGGGCCCTCAGTACGAAGCTTGGCCTGCATGGATACCCACCTCATTGAGATCATGGATCTGGCTATCAGCGTGTTCATGGTTTCTGTCCCACTCTTCCTCATTGTGGCCTCCTACATCCGTATTGTCCAATCCATTCTCAAGATCAAGTCCATAAAGGGCCGTTGCAAGGCTTTCTCCACCTGTGCTTCCCATCTGACTGTGGTTTCACTCTTCTATGCTCCAGCCACCTACATCTACATGAGGCCCAACTCCAGCTATTCCCCTGATAAAGACAAGCAGATCTCTCTCTTTTACAATGTCTTCACGGCTCTGCTCAACCCTGTGGTCTATAGCTTGAGGAACAAGGACATCAAAGGGGCTTTTCTCAAAGTTATGGGGTGGAGTAGAGGGACTAGTGAACTGGGATTCAGGAGGGGCTTGGGGCATAATATCCATTGATGAGGAAAGGGACATGTATAACGTATGTGACCAACAGTGTGCATTTGAACCAACATAGTACTTGATCAGTGGAACAAATGTGGTACATAGAACCAACATGACTGTCTTGATCATATTGCTACATTGTAGTATAGTATGTGGTATAGTAATGACTCCATAATTGCAGTGACTTATAAAAGTTGATTTACTGTTCATGTTTCATGTCAGTTGTAGGCAACCTATAGTCTTCTGCCTTTGAATTTTTGGATACACCCTAAAGGAGGAAGCTCTATTTGTAATGTGCCTCTCTTAGGACAGAAAGAAAGGAGTGAAGGCTAAAACACATCTCTTTGCTCACATTCTATTGGCCAAAGCAACTCAAGTGGTCAAGCATTTTCTTCCCACAGAAGAGTAATGTAAGTCATTTGGCAATGGGTATGGATGTATAACCCTCTACTATGAGAGCAGCAATAATGGAGACAATAATATAACCCACCACAATGACACTGGAACCAATAGAATACATGTGTAACCAACATGTATGCATGTGAGTGACATGGTATGTGGACACAGCAGAGGGCCAAGGTAATGTAAATCAAAATGACATGTAAACAATAAATATCTGCAGACAGCATTGAAAATAAAGCCACTGGTATATGAAACCAATGCAGCCCACAGACCTGACTTGGCACAAGAAGCTTATGTTATTCATGGGGCTAACATGGGATACTCTGCATTATTCTGTGGAAGGACAAAGAACCTAACACTAACAGACTAGGGTTCTAATCTCAAGCTTGCTATTTTGTTTGTTGACTTTGGACAGTTTAATTCCTTTATCTGGATCTTACTTCACTCACCTATAAAATGAACACCATAAATTTAATATCTCTGAAATGCTATGTCCCAGTAGATGAAGTACATGAAACTCAAATGCAAAAAACTCTGAATCCTCTGTGAACCATAAGCAGAAGACGAAAACCATAGAAGACTGAGTTGCTGCATGTGTGCCGCCATCTGTTAACCATAATGGGCAGCACAGATGGCTGTGAATCTTATTCTTTCAAGGGATCTTGAGGATCTCTAAGGATGCTGGCACAGAGCCTCAGAGTTAGCAGAGACATCCTGCTGTCTTCCAGGATGGTGGCCCAGAGGTCTTGGGGATGAATCAGTTCAGTTTCAGTAGCATCCATTATGACCCAGACAGTATCAGATGCTGTAGAAACCAAGTGAGACATGTGGAGAGATATACAGTCATGAAATTGTAATCTACAACCTAAGAAGTTGCCACGGTAATCTGTGTGGACCAATGACCTCATAAAAATGATGTTCCTTAAAAATAAGACCAGCAACACTGAAAGGAAAAGAAATCAACAGAGACAAGAGGGAAGGAGGGAGGGGGGCGGGGAAAAGGAAGGGAAGGGGAAAGTCAAGGAACATATAGCAAGGACTCATGGACAAAACCAAAGGGGAAGAGCTGAGGGAGGGAAGGAGGGAAGGGGCAAGGGAAAGTGGTGGGGGGTAGGCAGAGACAAATGTATTTGAAAAAATAAATTAAAATAAAATTTAAAAAAACGTGACAAAAGTACAAAAAAAAAAAGAAAAAAAAAGACAGTCATAAAATTAAAAAAAAATGATGTTCCTTCAGCTGGATACCAGGCCAGAGGACCAGGTTACACCTCACCCCACTCCTATTCACCACCGTGTCCTTCAGCACTTTGTAAGCTCTCCAGAGGTTGGAGTCAGGGAGAGGGAGAGAGAGACCCCAAGAACATTAATATTATTTTTTTCCACCAGTGGGATGATAGCTCAAAGTAGAAATTAAGTTTAATTACTGAAAAATAAAGTTGCAGAACTCTGAGAAAATAAAGAGTATATTGTGGCTGTAGAGAACATGAAGAGGGACACCTACTTACCAAGAGTTGACAGGTAAAGACTTGTGAAGGATTAAAATTTAGCTGATACCTGAAGATGAGGAGTCACCCATGCAAACAGTCAGGAGAAGGGCATTTCAGGCAAGGGGACACCAGGCACAAAGTCTCCAAGTCAAGAAAGGGCTTTTCATTGTCCACAGAGATAGATGAAAGATCATGTGATCATCATAAAGTGAGCAGAAGAGATAGAGAGAGCATTGAAACGTAGGCAAGGTAAAGTCCTAAAGAGCCCTGTAAGATTTAAGTGTTTATGCTAAGTGCAGTGGAAATGCTTTGGTTCTTATTAAGAGAGTGATACAGTTTTAGGGACGACAGACTCCACTGTGAGTGTGAGTGTGACTTGAGGTGACTCAAAAGCAGGGAGGAGAAAAGGCCATTGGGGATGAGAATGTCAGGGACTCACAGGCCAGGAATGAGAATAAAGAATCACCTTTTTAAGAGTGGAATCTTGTCATTTGTGACAACATGGATGGGCCTAGAGGGTACTGTGCTGAGTGAACTAAGTCAGACAGAGATATACAAATGCCATACGATTTCACTTATATGTGGAATCTAAAGAAAAAAATAAGTAAACAAGCAGAACAGAAACAGACTCATAGATACAGAGAACATTTTGATGGTTGCCAGATAGGATGGGGTTGGGGGAATGGGTGAAAAAGGTGAAGGTAATTATGAAGACAAGTTGGAAGTTACAAAGTAGTCCTGGGGATGTACAGTACAGCATAGGGAATATAGTCAGTAATATTGTAATAATTACATATGGTGCCAGGTGGTCACTAGATTTATTGGTGTGATCACTTCATAAGTTATATAAATGTCTAAACACTGTATTATATGCCCAGAACTAATATGTATAATATTGTACATCAACTGTAATTGAAAAATAAAAATAATTATTATTATTATTTTAAAAAGACACATTTATTCAGCGTCATTATCAGACTATTACATTTAGCAATCAACAGCATGGGTGCAAAAAAAAGAAAAAGGAAAAAAGAATAAAGAAAAACTACATTAAAAACCCTTTGTTGGAATGCTTTACACTTTCCACAGAACAGAAACTAAAATAACCTGTTATACAATTAGTCACAAATACAGTCCTCGAATCTTTTTGCCCATTCACATGAGTATTGTCTAAAACATGTCTTCTTTGTGGCAGCTAGGCCCTGCCACCACTGTGCTTGGCTGAGCTCACAAATCTGTTGTAACCTGTAGCTTCCCTGTCACTTCTCTGGCTCTCCTCTCTTGCTAAGCTTTGTTTCCTGGCAGCAATTAAAACCTTCTGCCACTGCCGTAGCTACTGCTGCTGCTGGAACTGCCATAGGCCCCTTGAATTCATGGTTTGGCAAAGTATTGGCCTCTACCACCATAAGGGCCAGAGCTTCTGCCTCCAAAGTTTCCTCCTTTCATGGGTCCAAAATTTGAAGATTGATTGTTGTAATTACCAAAAGCATTGTAGCTTCCACCACCTCCAAAATTGCTTCCATCTTTACCAAATCCATTATAGCCATCCCCACTGCCACCAAAACCGCCACCACCATGGCTACCACCAAAGCCACTTCGACCGCTGAAGTTTCCTCCAAGACCAAAGTTGTCATTCCCACCAAAACCACCTCCATGACCACCTCTGAAGTTTCCAGAACCACTTCGACCTCTTTGGCTGGATGAAGCACTAGCCATCTCTTGCTTAGATAGGGCTTTCCTTACTTCACAGTTGTGGCCATTTACAGTATGGTATTTCTGAATGACAATCTTGTCTACAGAATCATGGTCATCAAAAGTTACAAAAGCAAAGCCTCTCTTTTTGTCACTGCCTCGATCAGTCATGATTTCAATCACTTCAATTTTCCCATACTGTTCAAAATAATCTCTTAGGTGATGTTCTTCAGTGTCTTCTTTAATTCCACCAAAAAAATCTTTTTCACAGTTAAGTGGGCATCCGGTCTTTGAGAATCTTCTTTTGACACAGCCCTCTTTGGTTCCACCACACTTCCACCCACCTTGTGTGGCCTTGCATTCATGGCTGCATCCACCTCCTCCACAGTGGCTTATGTGACAAACCCAAAGCCTCTGGAGCACTTGGTGTTTGGATCTCTCATCACCACACAGTCTGTGAGCGTTCCCCATTGCTCAGACTGGCTCCTCAGGCTCTCATCTGTTGTTTCAAAGCTCAAACCTCCAGTAAAGAGCTTCCGTAGCTGTTCCAGCTCTTTGGGGGACTCTGACTTAGACATGACGACCATAGGAGAGGAGATTTCACTGGTGCTTCCTCAGAGGCGTCCACTGGCAGAAAGCGAAAAATAAAAAATTATTTTAAAAATTCTTTGCTAATTATGGTGCTGAAGTTGAGATGACAAAGAGAAAGAACTGGGAAACTTTATGCTTGTAATATAAATACATTTATTTGACCATAACCATCCTCTTCTTATTTCTTATCACCATTTTCAAATTATTTAACACACATGTTACTGGAAGTTAACATTATAATGTCGTTAGGTAACAGAATATTCAGTGAGATTGTGGCTATATTTGAGGAATAATTAATACATTCTATGCTCTTTGCTTGTAAGGAGAGATGTGACCCCCACCTTCTCCAGTGAGGTCTCAAGCCCTCCCAGGTCGGTCCTAATTTGGCTGCTATCCCTTGGTCCTTGGGTACTACAGAGTTTCCTTATATCTGATAGTTACTCTCTTATCATAGTTAATACTGATTTATAGTAAACTTCCCATTTAACCTACTGAGTGGTTTTTCTCTTCTGGTTGGACTCAGAGAGCTACAGGCCCTCTTACCTTTCAAAGTTAGTTTCATTATCTTCTGAGGAGAAGGACTGGAGCTCAGAAAAATGAATGCTCAGAGTGGTCAGGAGCCAAATCCAAAGCTCTGCAATTAGTACATGAAGGAGGTGGGATTTCAACCCTGTTCTGTGGGATCTGTATCTCTGGTCATGACCACCCACAATGTTTGATCCTTGGGCTTCTATCCATCTTGTATAATCTTTTCATACTAAGCACCATCTCCTCTTCTTGGCAGCTTCTGTCTGAAATCTTAAAATGAAGTTATATCCCAAATCTGTTCATTGAATGTTCCCT